CAATTACAGGTTTCTCTCATCTTTTTAAGTGGGAGAACTTGCACAATTGGTGGCTGACTAAATACTTTTTTGCCCCACTATCATTACTGCAGAGACCATAGGAATTATAATTTACTGTGCTTATAGTGTAGGGAAATCGGTAGTAAAAAGTACCTTATCTGTCAAATGGATTTTTGTTAGAGACTGTGGTTATTGGGTCTACTAGAAGTATAAATATAAGCATTGAAGAAGTAATGTAAGTATAGCTGTAGGAGCTTTTTCCTTGAACTATGACATGATTTAAAATAGTCATAACTAATAATTTTAAATGGCATTTTTTAGAAATTACTGAATTGGCATCACCAGTGGAAGAAGCTGCAGAAACAATTGTATCTGAAAAAGAGGAGATTAATCTTCAAGCTGAACCAGGTCAGTTCTAAATTGGACATTTAGTCTTTCATTAGCTATATCATAATCAGCTCTTTGAGGAACCTTAATTTAATTTCCTTAAATTAATCTGTGTGTGAGGCTACTCTAAGGTCTTTGTGAAAAATGTTCAAATGTGACATTCAGCCAGTATGAAATTAGTTTAATGCCTAGTAAACTATGAAGTAAGTTGCATAGAAAATCTATTATTGCTTAGTTTCAGAAGAAAAGGAGGAAGAACCTGAAGGAGGAGGATTAGATGACTGGGAAGCTATGGCCAGTGATGAAGAAAGAGAAAAAGGTAATTTCTTTTTGAAAAAGGAACAGAATATTACAAGGAATGAGACTTTCATTTGTTTCACTAAGTCCTCCGGTTTTTTTCTAATAAGAAAAAGTAAAGCAAGCAGTGTAAAAAAGATTTAAAGGGTATTTCAAACGGAATATATATTTTAAACTGCAATGCACTTCATTAATGTATTGCTTGTTTTTCTGTTAATATTTAGCTGTTTAATAATTTGTAAAAATTATCTAGTTCAACTGAATGAGAAGGGCTAGTGATAACATTGACAGAAGGGCCATATTTCTGTTCTCAACAAGTTCTTTTGTAGTGGGAATATAACTCAGAAGAGAATAAGCTGTCTCTTGACTTTTTGATGCATTGTTGCCCCTTTGCATATATGGCAGGTCAGGTGAAATGAATCTGAAGTGTATCTATTTGTTACATATTTTATATGTTGCAAACTTCAAAAGAATTCTCAGTGATATGCAGCATTACCTATAATACTTGAGCAGGGCAGAGTTAAGTGAGCCAAATTAGAATTATATTAAGTAACTTTAGTATTTTGTCATCAGAGAGAAAAACTGTCCATATTGAAGTCAAAGAACAAAATGAAGATGATGAGGATGAGGATGAAGATGAAGATGAGGAAATGGAAGAGAGTGACGAATATGAAGAAGGAGAAAGTGAAGGAAGCGAAGAAGAGAAAACTTTAGATGAAAAGGAATCAGACTCACGAGCTGCTGCAAAACAATCTGTAGAAAAAAAACTAAACAAAGAAATAAGTTCAGATTCAGAGTCTGAGTCGGATGATGATCGCACTAAAGAAGAACGTTCATATGACAAAGCTAAACATCGAATTGAGGTATTTAGTTAAACATTTTCACAAACAGCATTTTTTGGCTTTTCCCCAGGGACTGGAGAGAGCTCCGAATTTCAGCCAGAATTATTCCCTTTTCATACAGAATTATAGGATGTAACTAAATATCTATAACACTGGAGATTCATTTTAAAAAGAAAGCTAATAAACATTGGGGATATTGCATTGGTCTTGAAAATATTTGAATTCTCAAATCTGATTTACAGGGCGGGGCATAACCTTTTCCTAGGGGGTCACAGCAACACTTGTAATAACAACACAAATAATTCATACACCATTCGAAAGCCCATCAAAAACTGAGTTTATTGACACGAGTTAATAGTCAGTATGACCACCATTAGCCCTTCGAACAGCATTCAAACGAGGTGGATAAGAACACAACAAATCTTCAAACAGTTCCGTTCGATTTTCCAGATTTTTCAACACAGTTTCCAAATTCATTCTCAAAGTTTCAACCGAATATCGATTTTGACCTTGCTCCTGAATCATCAGAGCTTCCACTTCATCCTTAATTATGGCCCCAATGTTCTCTGCCGGATTGAGATCTGGCGAATTTCCCGGCCAGACGTCATTGCCCCAAAATTCGACATTGTTTTCGCGAGCCTCTCGAAAGGCAATGCATTTTATTCTGTCAATGATCCTTTGTTCTTCCGAATCGAATTTTCCAGCCATTCTTAAAGCAAATTTAACATTTAATAGCTCATTCAATTCAGTTTTTTATGGGCTTTAAAATGAGGTGTCGCGGAAGTTGTAAACTGCTGTCGATCTTGCTGTGACCCCCTAGGAAAAGGTTATGCCCCGCCCTGTATTTGCATTTCACTTTGTTCTTTATTCTTAATGGGTGAGTAAAACTTATTCTCAGTTTTTAATTTTAGAAACGTCGAATTGAAAATAATAAAAATGCAAACACTGAAAAATTACGAGCACCTGTTATCTGTGTGCTGGGGCATGTAGACACAGGAAAAACAAAAATCCTTGATAAGGTAAGCACAGGTATAGCACTAGCTAGCAAACAAATTGTTGACTTTTATTTAGATTGAATATTTGTAGTAGTTGGGAACTGTTTCACGCTATATAATAATAATTCTGGTATATTTCATATAGCTTCGTCATACTCATGTGCAAGACAGTGAGGCAGGTGGTATCACTCAGCAGATTGGGGCAACTAATGTTCCTCTTGAAGCCATTAATGAACAAGCAAAGATGGTGAAAACTGTGAGTAGGAGCTTTTTAGCCCTTTATGTGCATTTCACGTAATAGTATTAACTTGTCCTGTGATCATTATGATTGTTGACAGTGAATACTTTTAGGTTTCTGTTTACTTGTTCCCTGTTCAGAGGACTATTTCAGTTGATGGAAATATTCCACATTTGCATGAATACAATAAAATATAGCTTCCGTATTGGCCTTCCTGATACTTACATAGAATTGAATTACCGTATTTTTCAGAGTATAAAATGCACCTCCCCCCCCTTGCTAAAAGTGGGTGAAAATTTAGATGCATCTTACAGACCGAATAAGGGTGTTTTTGGTCTCCTGAACCCTCCATGCATCACATTTTCGCTCTCCCTGGCCCCCAGAAGCACTCTGCAGTGCTGTTTTCACCAAAAAACGGGAGCTCCCAAGCCCTCTATTTGTCAGGTTTTCATCCTCCCTTGCCCCCAGAAGCACTCAGCAAGCCAAAAACTGCCAGGGAGGGGCAAAAACGTGATGCATGGAGGCCAAAAACTTTTTTTCTTGTTTTCAAAAAATATGGTACTTACCTTATGGAGGTTTTGATGCTTATTGTGTTATTCATTTGTAATTTTGCAAATGTCAACAAAGATGGAACTCACTAAGTGTTGCTGCACTTAGCAATACAAGCACCTTAACCTAAGATCTTAAAAAGACTTGTATCTAATAATTGAAAGTTACTCAATTGATTGTTAACTTGTATATTAATAGTTAAAATATTAATGTACCTTCAAAAGGGATTGGGATTGGACATTTGCAATAAATGTCATCAAGCATGAAACTGTTATAAAAATTTGGTTTGCCTAAATATCGAGTTAATTAATATTTTGCAATGATAGTTTGACAGAGAGACAGTCAAGATTCCAGGAATGCTTATCATTGATACTCCAGGACACGAGTCTTTTAGGTAACAGCTGATTATTTATATCATTTTGGGGTTACATTTTGTAATATATAATGTTAAAAACAGTTGCAGAAGTAGAAATTAATTATGTATTTTAAGTGGTGTACAGTCTTGTACCTATTACGTGTAGACTAATCAATATTGTGATCTTTCTACTTAATAGAACTTGTGTTAAGAATAAGTATTATTTATTCATTGGTAAACTACAGGTCATGCTTTTTTCTTCATTTTCTGCTATTGATGTTGACAATATCATTTTAATTTCAGCAATCTTAGAAATCGTGGAAGCTCACTATGTGATATTGCAATTCTTGTAGTAGATATCATGCATGGTTTGGAACCTCAGACTATTGAATCTATAAACCTGCTGAAAACCAAAAAATGTCCCTTTATAGTTGCACTTAACAAGGTAAGGTCCCTTTTCATTGAATGGGTTTGTATTCTGTGATATATTCTATTTTGACTTTGTGTGTTGCGTGATTTGGTCTCTAAAGCATTGATTATGGATGTGTGAACTCATTTATTGTGACCTTTTAATCTTTGTTAAAGCATAATTTAGCACAGTATAAGAAACCAGCTGTTTTGGAAGGAGGAGCCACGTCGCAATGTTACAACGTGCGGTCTCGATACTCTGAGACCGCCGTTGACACTTTTGCCACTGTGGGGATCCATTGAGACCCACTGTCCCGTAGAGACAGTGATCAGGAAGACAAAGCCTTGCTGGTCTCAGGGATATAGCAAAATCCCTGATGCACCCAAGGGAAGTGCTTCAAGCCTGCGGTGAATAGGCAGCCCCTAGGCTGATGAAGTCAGGACGCTCCGGAAGGAAGTGAAAANAAACCAGAAGTTCAGGAACGGACTTCCGGTTTGCTCATAGGGCTGGTTTCAGCCCTCCGGAGCCTTCAGGGGCCTTCAGGAGGCTTCCCTGAATACTCTGGAGGGTTAAAACCAGCCCTACGAGCAACCTGGTTCCGGTTTGCTTGTAGGGTCATTTTTTGCCCTCCAGAGCCTTCAGGTAAGCCACCTGAAGGCCCCTGAATACTCTGGAGGGCTAAAACCGGCCCTACAAGCAAACCAGAAATCCATTTCCAAACTTCCGGTTTGCCCATAGGGACGGTTTTTTGCGCTCCAGATACTTCAATGAAGCCTCCGGAGGGAGAAAAATGGCCTCAAAAGGCTGAAATCAGCTGGCCAGCACGTCCATGCATGCTGGCCAGCTGACAGGGCAGCACCTCGCGTGCCCTGACAAATGGCTCCGCATGCCACCTGTAGCACGCGTGCCATAGGTTCGCCATCATACATTTACTTAGAGGGAAATATAAATGAGACTCCCAAATGAATGCATGCAGCATTGCTACCTTACCATTCTTGCATGCCAAGTTCCAACCATGTGCACTGGAAGTCATAAAGTGGCTAAAACCTGATTTTTGTAGGAACGCTTGGAACAAGAAAAAAAAGAAAGGAGAAAACAAAAAGAAAAAGAGAGAAAAGAACGTTTGAAGAAGGAAGGAAAACTTCTAACCAAATCTCAAAGGGAATCCAAAGCCAGGGCAGAGGCCACTCTTAAGTTGCTGCAAGCACAGGGTAAGGATTGCTCTTTATATTATTTTTCTAATTTTCATCCTGTTCAGGATAAAATATATATGTTTTATTCGAGTATGGTTGTCTGGATATCACAGGGACATTTTAATGGAAATGCTGTGGGTTTGCAATTCTTATTTGCATTGTGTAAAGTATTAACTGAAAATACCGCAATTCTATGCTCTTACTTCAGAATGGCCTCCAATGAATTAAGTGAATATTTATTACAGACGAAATCTGCTTTAGATCAAGTTGTAGATCTAAATGAGTGTCTGCTGTCTTGTTTAAACAATCCTATTTTATTTTAGTAAGCCAAAGTACAAAAGAGCTCTGCGCTTCTGTGTATATCTCTTTGTTACCATTCAGGTCATCTTTTTTCCAGCTCTATTTCTCTTAACATACAGTTTAGAAATTATTGTTACTAATGCTAGTTTTCTGTATTTTTTCCACTGAATGTGGGCTGTAAGTATTAATAATATTTATTATTCATTAATAGAAACAGCAGCATAAAATCAAATCACTAGCAGATTAACTGATCCATATTAAAAGTCCTAAGTCTTAGTCTATATATAAACTATACTATATATACTAATATACTATACTTTGTTCAAGATGTTTTTCTCCAATTTTATCCTATCTTGTTAATTTCAAAATTCAGTCCCTTGTCATCAAATGTTGATATAAAGATTTTTTTGTTTTGTTTAATGTGCAGGTGTGGAGGTGCCATCCAAAGATTCAATACCCAAAAAAAGACCCATATATGAAGACAAAAAGAAAAAAAAGCAACAGCAGCAAGAAAGCAAAGAAGGTGATAATTTTGTTTAGGGATAACTATAAACACAGAAACAGGTTAAAAAAGCAATAAAAGTTTAAATCATTTCAGTCACTACTTTCTGTGCTTCAAGATACCTCCTTTGATACATCTTATACATCTTTATAGAGCAAAGGATATTCTTTAGTGGGTTGTGCTGTCCAGTGAGAAGTCCATTGGGAGAACCTCTTTTGCACAAAATGTTTAAACACAAGGGTCTGCTGATGAATTCCTCCACCAGATGGGGGATTGAACTACATAATCTGCAAGGTCTCTTCCATCCCACCCTTATCGTTCTATGATTCTATAAATTCTTGACTGACTTTTAAAATATTAATCCAAGAATCTGAGATGTTTCAAATAGGTTTGTGCAAAGTGATGATTCATTCCTTCTCTACTTTCATATTAGATAAATTGAAAAGAAAAAGATATGTCATGTTCAGCAAGAGTTAGTTCTTTGTTTACTATGCTTGTATCAGAATAAATTGGAATTTCACAGGATAATGAATGTAATTTAGCCATGCAGCAAAAGCATGGAAGAGTTATATGCCTTTTAAAAAAGATTGATCAATTTTGTGTAGAATAATGTTTTTGATTTATAGCTTGAATTGACACAACTATTTACAGTCTTAATAATTAGGATGCTATTTCTGTGTTATTTGGGTTATTAAAACTTTTATAAATCTACAGGTATTTATTTTCATTGTTGCATCCTGCACCAGCCATGAATTCATAAAGTAGTTGATCAAATAGATTACAGTGGGGCAAAAAAGTATTTAGTCAGCCACCAATTGTGCAAGTTCTCCCACTTAAAAAGATGAGAGAAACCTGTAATTGACATCATAGGTAGACCTCAACTATAGAGACAAAATGAGAAAACAAATCCAGACAATCACATTGTCTGATTTGGAAAGAATTTTTTTGCAAATTATGGTGGAAAATAAGTATTNTTGGCAAGAGATCTAGCTTGCCATTGCTTTTGTCATAGGTCTGAGAAAGTTTCTTTCTTTCTTTCTTTCTTTCTCTTTCTTTCTCTTTCTTTCTCTTTCTCTTTCTTTCTTTCTTTTTCTTTCTTTTCTCTTCCTTTCTTTCCCCCTGATTTGTTTCCTTCTCTTTTCCCTCTCTCTCATTCTCCTTCAGCTCTCTTTCATTTCTTTCTCCCTCTCCCTTCTCCCTCTAATTTGTTTCCCTCTATTTTCTCTCTCTCCCATTCTCTCCTTCCAGCTCTCTTTCATTTTTCTCTCTATCTCCTCTGTTTGTCCCCTTTTCTCTTTCATCTCTTTCTTGCGCGTGTAAGCAAAATACCCTCCTGGGCCGGGATCACGGTGGCGGGGACAGCGACTCCTTCCGCTGCTGCCACTGAGAAGTGGGTAGCTTGCTGTGCTGCACAGGAGACTTCTCAGTGCCAGATTCAAGTCGGTCCCCTTCATGTTGCCTCAGGAAAGAGCTGGAGCAGCCGTCTCTGGATGCAGAGAGGGAAGAGTTCTAGAGCCCTGCACAAGGAGAGCCCTGTGCAGTGCAGGAGAACTGGAGCTCTTCCCTCTCTGCACCCAACCAGCTGCTGCTGCTGTTCCCCATTCGCCTCCTTCCTGAGGTAACCTGAAGGAGACCGCGGCTCACGCTGACCTGAGTCTGGCGCTGAGGAGTCTCCTGCGCAGCTTGGATCCCCTGTGCTGCATACCCAGTTACTCACCTCATTGTGCAGTGGCGACAGCGTGAGGAGAGTCGTTGTCCCCTCCGCCTTGATCCTGGCCCAGGAGGGTATTTTGATTGTGCGCGCATGCACAAGAGATGAGCACAAGAAAAGGGATGGAGCTCTTCCCGACACTGAGTTGCCTGTGAAGGACGCAGAATCGCAAAATCAGGCTTGTGCCTTCTCGGGGTGGAGAGCAGATTGCGCGATTGGGTCAGCAGGGAGTCGCAGGAGAGGGGCCAAAGCCTATTAAGACTGTTAAGCATGGGTAACAGTCTTAATAGGGAATCTCAGTGTACGCGCATCCCACGTTCTTTTATTTTATTTTCCCCACCTTGTTTTATGCCTCAGAAATGGTACCTCTTGGTTTCCGTAGCTATGCCCATCAACCTCCATCACTCAGAGCGAGCTGCTTTCCCAGCGTCCTCTGTGCTGCGCACGTCTCTCTTTTCCCCCTCCCTGCCTCCATTCTGGCTCCTACTTCCCCCCCCCCCCATCACACACACACACACACACACACACA